ATTAGTCTCCCCTGAAGTTCCATCACGTAAAAGCAGTCTTTATCCAACAGTTTCCCTGAGCTTCAGACATTGAAGCTTTTGTTACTGGCTTGATATTTTCTTACACTGCCTGAAGATCCTAAACTAGGAAATGCATTTTTCATGCTTCGCCAGCTAACTGGTATGACACCTTTACAGACAAGGTTCAATTAACATGCAAATCTTCCCTAAAGTTATCACTTGCCTTGTGGTGAGATTGCTGTGTGAATTGAGGCTTCCAGTTGCCTTACAAGTGTGTAAAATAGCTCTTAACTGTGCATGGCTGTAAGGTGATACTGCACGACAGTCATAACTTGATTATAATTATCAGTGTTGCAGTAGCCCTAGAGAGCTGAACAGAGCCTGGGCTCCCATAACATTAGGCAGTGAGAACACATAGTAAGAGATGGGACCAGCTCCAAGAGTGTACAGTCTCAAAGGCTGGGAGGGGAATATGGAGGCAAAGCAATTAAACGTCTAGCCTAAGGTCAAGAACAGAGTCTGGACAGAGCCTAGGGGCATGTCTCTTTGGAGAAGCTAATGGCACGAAGTTGGGATGTAAATTTTCAGTACATTAGCTGCTTTGGCCTAACTTGCTGTGCACAGTGCATGTGTGGGTTTTGCCTACGTTGCATAAACCTGCAGTGTGTACCAAGTATCATGTGGGAATTAGTGCAGAGAAACCAGTGGACTTCTCCATTGCACCCTAACTGATTCCATACCAGCTTCCCCAACAGACAAGCCTTTAGGTCTCCTGAATATTCTGTCCACAAGGCCATGTTTCCTCTACACTGACCCTGTAATATGAACCAGTGACTACTGAATGAAAGTGCCTTTCTAATAACTAAAAGTTAATGGTATCTATGAGCCTAGCAGCCCTGTGGGCTAGCATGGTAAAGGCAGGCCAATTTCTATAGCCAGTGGTGCACAAAGGGTGTGATATGGCTTGTGTTGCATCTACCTTTTGATTCCTCAGACTCAACGATCAAGTACCATTTACAGTTGGATTAACCTTTAGCACAAGCCGAGAGCAAGGCCCAAACTCCTATTTCAAGAGCAGTAACAAAATGCCTTAGCTACTTTACCCTCCCTGCCCTCCCCACACCCTCTGATACAAATTTCCCTGAAACCTCACTGGTCTCTAAACATGTTCCCTTAGAAGAAGAATGTGGAAAAGTCCTTAGTAAGGTGTCATGCGAGTCAGCATTCAAGCCCAACAGAATGCTCTCCTGTGAGCAGTTATGTTTTGCAATCATCAGACTCTGCTACTTGAACTGTGTTCACCAGTGCAAAGCCTCAGGCTGGTCTGTGGTGGCATGAAACGCTTCCTGGAGGAGAATGTACGGGGCCAGAATTGGCGGAACAAAGGGTATCTTCTTTCTCGGTAGGAGGTTACTGTGCTATTAGCTTCTTTGGCAACAGTCCTTCAGCCCTATTCTGTTCTTCTCCTTTCTTTGGTGGGAGCAGAGTGAAGAAGCAGTAGTCCCAAAAAGAAAATGTGAATGAGCCTAGTGAGTTTGGAAGATAAGTTGGAGCTCTTTGAAGGAGATGAACACTCACGTCTTACTGTATTCACGGCTCATGACAAACCTGGACTTTCTACTGACATTATCATGGTTCCAGGGTGGTGCCTTTGGCATCTGAGTGCACGCCTCTGTGTTTCCCCTTGGGGCCTTTTACTTTCCTGGAGTGGAATCTTAACATTCCTCTGTTAAACGAGTCCTTGGACCACAGCAGCCTTTATGCAGTGGGTTTACCTAACAGGTTTGACTAGACTTGGTACCCGCAGTTCTTCATTTCGGTGATGCATAGTGACTCCAAAGGGCCACTGTTTTAAAACAAAGTACTGTTTAATCTTACCAAAAGGAATTAGGAGAAAAGGTTTTAAGAACAGCTTATATGCAGAATTCTTACTAAAAGCCTTGCTGGGCCTTTGCAGAAACTAGAAGCAGGGTTGACTTATTGAAGATACAGCAGCCTCTGATGAGTTCACCTTTATGTCCCAAAGAGACTGAAGAGTTACTTTTTAATCCAGTTCAAGTCCTTTGTACCTGATCCTGGCCATCCCAGTTTAGTTGGCTCAGCAAGGCGTTAAGGGCAAAGCAGGTGAATATCAGGCCCCTCTTGTTTTTTTCTGGGTGTGCTTCCCTGACAGTACTGATTAGGGTGGCCATTGGTCCTGTTTTATACTGGACTGTCCAGCTTTTATACTTTGTCCCCTGTCCATTTCTAAAATGAGAAACAGACAGCAAAAAGTCCTGTTTTTTAGTTCATTGGTGGAAATGTGTGTCAGTCATTTATCTTTGTGATCCTGTTGGCTGTGCCTAGATGTAGGGTGGTGCACAGCCAGAAGGAGCAGGTTCCAAGCCAGCCAGGGAGGGAAGGAGGGAGCCATTTTATGGTGCCTTGCTGCCAATTTGGGCGAGGATGCAGCAATGGCCACCCTAGTTCTTAGTTTATGCAAATTCACATATTGTGTTAATTCACTAAGTAACATGGTAACTTGCTCAAGGTGCAGTATCCCAAGAATTATAATCAGCAGCTCAAAATCCATCAATTTTTCACCACTCGCCTTGTATTTTCCATTCTGTCCCTTTAGGCTCCCACATAAGGTGTATTTGAAAGCTGATGCTATAAAAATTAGTTTTAAAAAGAAGTGTGACCACTCAGGATCTCTGCAGACTCTTGACTGTATAAATCTACTCTTAAGTACTAGTATTGGTGCTCTCAAATGAAATTAGGTCTGTTGAGAAAACAACGAGATTATGCATGAATGTCATCCAAACAGGGAGGCAAAACTTTGCATGTGCATACATACACTTGTGTATGTTGAGACATGGAATATTGGAATTTTTAAATTTAGGCTGTTGTCAAGTAGCTTTAATGTTTAATCCAGCATGGTTTTGCTCTGTTCTTTGTTTTAAAGAATGTGGAGTTCATGATTTAAGGGGTGGAACTGGGACCTTGGATTTTTTTCCCCTGCTGTTACTATTGAACAAACTAGTTAATATTCCTTCTTTCTATTCCCTTCCACAGTGGTGAATTAAAAGGGACCCAGTGGACTAGGGGACATAGTTTCATAATTTCTAGGGTCAGAAGGGACCTGAGCAGATCATCTAGTCCGACCCCCTGCCATGGCAGGAACGAGTACTGGGGTCAAACGACCCCAGCAAGGTGTTCATCTAACCTCCTCTTAAAAACCCCCAGGGTAGGAGCCTGCACCACCTCTCTTGGAAGTTGGTTCCAGACCCTAGCCGCCCTGAC